CTGGGTTCACGTACAGGTGGCTGAAGATGGCCAATAAGCCAGAAATGACCATCCCAGTACGCCTCATCTTTGTTGGCACTATCTTTCCACACCGGGTCTTATTCAAAATACGCAAGTAAATACTGCATTGGTTCGGATAAAAAGTCAAGGCAAATGTAATTTCTCAAAGAAAATTCAGGTATCGAAAAGCAGCGAGAAACCCAGACTACATGCAAAACTGCGTCTATTGTTAGAAGGATCCTCTGTAGGACACCAGCATGCAGTCCTGTACTAACTGACTTTGGGGTACGCGCTCTGCAAATAAATCCCGCAACCTCACAAAACTTATATTGGAAAACGCACACACAAGTTTCATGGCTTTCGGTGCATGGCATCTGAATTGAAAACCCCAAGCGGACAAGGCTGATCCTCCAACTATCCGGCGTTCATCTTCTCAGACACCACCGACAGGCCGAATCTTTGCGCGTATCAACTACAAGTTGAACAGACTGTCCATTGGGACAGCCTGTAAACAGCCATCATCCGGTTGTTGAAATTTTCAACAAGCAATTTCTGACTAATTTATGGCTTCGTGTCGCGAGAACGGGTTGCTTAAAACCAACCAGTAGCGAAAATGGAAAGTCACAACCAGGGCGTCCTGCGAACGTGACTCCTGAGGACGAATAGTTCAGATTTGGGTCGATGTTAGACAGGGTAAGAATATTGACTGCTTAAATGTAGCACCTTGAACATATTAAGGAGGCATCTGTTTGTTGAGAAATCAAAATACAAGAGAAGGGCAAAGGAGTTACAAGTCCCCACAAACGCATGACATTAAGACTTTAAACACAATTTACCTTTCTGAAGTAATTTGGAAGGTACTTCATAGCATTTGTCCGAATACAGGCAATATTTTGATACGATCCAGGGTGATTTTGGCGCAGGGCAATAATCTTCGACTAAAAAAGAGGGCATGCTTGGGATGCAAATTGCAAATGAACAAAAATCTGCGGAGAAGACACTAAAGGGGTGCCGAAGTAATCTTAGAAGGACGAAAGTTGCAACCACACAAACGACATCTACTAGTTGGAGAATCATACAGTAGATATGCTGTCGCATTAGATATTAACCGAAATTCTGAAATGTGTTTTCGATTAAAAAGGAGTAATTAAGTAGAATTGAAGTATTTATTATTGCACTGTATAATCCCAAGATTTTTTTAATCACACCAGGATCCCGGCCTATGAACAAGCTCCGTTACGGCCACCTGCAACAAGTACACTCTGTAAAAAAATGACTACTTAAGCATTTTAAAGCAGTATCCCAGGTGAAAATTGTAAATTACAAGAA